CTCTCTCTTGTCCCTCACTCTCCCTTGTTATCCCACACAGCGCCCTTCTATCCCCCGAAGAACCACCTTTGCCCTCACCTCCTCCAGCGCTCCCATGCAGCCTGGCTATGGCTGCCAGCGCCCTGCGCCCACCGCTTAGCGCCAGCCTGCCGTCTCTCAGCCTAGCGCAGCGCAGCACCTCGCAATGCAACAGCGTGCCGGCCTTGCTCGCAATGGCCCAGATCCCTGCCCACTCGCCCGCTCTGCCTATATGCCAGTGTTGCGTGTGGGCGGTCACCGTTGAGCCTGCGCCTGGGCCCCAGTACCTGTACCCAGGGCCAATGCAGATGGGGCCCAGGTAATACAGTTGCGCCCCTTATACTAGGGGCGTTGTCCAGATTCAGACCCCTTACCGGTTTCCCATTGGTTTCCTCGGCCTCTGCAACGAAATACTGCTTTCCCAAGGCCAGGGACCAATGTGTGATGTGTCGGCCTCCCAGACTGTCGCCCAGGGCTCAACCAACCGAGGCCCTGGGCTCAACTGCCTTTGCAAGGGTCTGAGGTTCACGATGCACTCCAACCAACTCGGGTGCCGCAACTGTCTGATACCTACTTTGTGAAATGCTGAATGAAGGTCTCTCGTGGATAATCTGGCCCGCCCTCACTTAGGGCGGGCACGAGGCTTGCTGGGGGCCTATGCCCAGAACATATGCATGTCGGCATGGCCCCGTTGAGGGCTCAATCCTCACAGAAGTTGTGTTTTTTCCTAGGCAGAGTTGCAATAACCAGGAGAAAACAAGGTTAATAAATAATTCCTAATCAACTAGTCTATAATAACCCGCTTGAAAATATGTTATTGTCGTCAGCCAGGGGTCGACCACAGGCCGCAACAAGGCCTGGTGCCCAGCTGCACCCGACCCAGGACCTTGAAACAAGGCCTCAGAGGCCCTGCGCTCGACAGTTGACTCGGAACAGTTAATAACTGTAATTCAGGAATCGAGGCTCACGAGTCGAAGTCTGAATGGACCCGGTCACGGCCAACGATCAGACACACACATTTGGATGTTTGCAGGTATCTGGGCGGAATCTGGTCCAAGTGGAAGTCTGCAACTGTATGAGATCCAGACCATTGCATGTGGGTCGATCTGAGCCCTCGTATCCAGGAGACCAGAGGCTGGTCAACTTGTGTCAACACTACTTATTGACCCAGCCCCTGTCATCGACATTCAGTCCTGCACTTGCTGCTTGACACTGTCATGACGCTGGCTAGATGCTGGCTTGACGCTGGCACTGCGCTAGCATTGTGTGTGACAAATACGCGAGACTGCTGCATTGCGTGATGGCGCCTCTCTGCTCTTGGCGCCAGCTGGGGGACTTGATTGCTGATGTGGCGCTTGCCACACTGTCATCAACAGAGATTGGGGAATCGACGAGGATGGAGATCGGGGCTGTGAGATTGGTTGTGAGAGAGAGAGGGAAGCTTACCTGATTGATGCTGTCGACATGGCGCGCTTCTGTATCATCTTCATGAGAGATCTGTGCCTACAGGGCACTATGCTGTGATCGGTTCTTGCCAGGCTCGTCTTTGGGATACTGTTTGCTGACGTGAAAGAGGGGAGATGCCCGAAGGAGGAGTGAGATATGAGGGAGATCTATCTTTGATGACATTGATGGATACTTTCTCTTCCACCCTCTAAGTCTTATCGCCCTCCTATCAGCTTCGTCCTTTGGTTACGAGACATTGTACTTCAGATCACATTCATGATTATTGGAGACATTGACAGGCGTTGAGACATCTTGGATTTCGACATTGACGAGTTTCCTTCCAGACTGGGTTCATTGCAAGCCGGCCGGCCGGGCGCCTGGCCGCCCGCCCAACGACCGACCGACAATCAATCAATCAATCAATCAATCAATCAATCAATCTTCCTGCTCGTGCGTCAGTCTTGAAGTCCTGATTCACTCAAGCAGCTCCGATACCAACTGATATGGAGCCAATGATCCGCAAGTGATGAAAAGGACTCGAATGGACAATTCAGCGACAGCAAAGCATCAACAAGCAATGTACATCCAGATACATACGAAAATAGCCCCGCCCTTGAGTTAGGTGCCTAGTACCGCAAGGGATATGCTGCTTTCTTCTTCTCTATTACTCTGTAAACACTTTTATGCTTGCCGGTGATAAGCAACCGCACTGCTGCCCCCCAGAATAGATGAGGCCTTTGCGGTTAAAAAAAGAAAGAAAGAAAATAACACAATGTAGCACATTGGAAGACTCAAAGACATGACCTGACCTGTCAGATACTGACGCGACATCCCATCATACACCACACATGTGAGAGAGAGGGAAGGGACCGTATACACAGACGAAAGGTCCCTCCTTGAGCATGCACATGGGAAGATACTGCGGATGAGAAGATGGGGGGAGAGGCGAGACGAAGATGGGGACGAGGGAGAAGACCAAGATCGAGATAGAAAGTCCAAAAATAGTCTTCCTGCCGAATATCCAATCACTGTCTGCCACAAAAATGTCGAATCAGATCCTGGGCCTCATAACCCGATGTAACCTCTGCCTGTAAACTCTCTCTCTCTCTCTCTCTCTCTCTCTCTCTCTCTCTCTCTCTGAAAGAAGAATAAGAAGAAGAAGAAGAAGAAGAAGAAGAAGAAAGAGATGGACGAAGTGTTACATGCTGCGCCTGCACACGGGCCCCATTTGAGGGGCCCGACGGTTGCTGAGGGGCCCCCAGGCCGCGTACCATCCAGCACGCGCCCTGGAGGCCCACGGTGGCCCTCCAGGCCCTAGGCAGCACACCAGGTAGATAGGTTTTATTTTACTTACCTTTTTGTGTGTGTGTGTCAGCGTTGTCGAGCGGGGGTCCCCGGGGGCAAAGCCGGTGTGAGGCTGCGGCCCCCGGACCCCCGCCGCCGGGGCCATCCAACCCCGCCACCGCCGGACGACCCCAGCCGCCGCCCAGCCCCGGGTACCCCGCCGCCTAACTCCGCAGGCCCGCCACCGGCCCCGCAACCCCGCCCCCGCATCGCCCCCGCACCGC